TAATGTATCTTATTGAAAAGAAAGTATATATCCTAAAAACTTTCTTATAAAAATCATTCACCAAATGTATGAAACTCATAATTACAAAATAACCTTGTTTTGTTGCAGCATAGTGGAATATTGCATTCACGGTACCACATATTTGTTTGCGGAGGGTTCTTACTATCAATTTCCTTTTGTTTTTCCTTTGCAAGATAGCGACACCAAATACATGCCTCTCGTTTATCCCTCCACTTTAAAAAATGCTTGCCAGGCAATTGTCGACATGTTGGAAGCTCGAAGTTTTTACTAACATAAGCAACATTAACATTTGAAACAGGAGGATTAGTAATTGAATATTGTAAATTTCTTGTATTAGGAACTTGGCTTACTGAAGCTTGTATAAGTTCCCAAACAAGATATGTACAAAATTCTTCACTATCTAGTGGATTTTGTGTATTATTACTATTAGAATTTGTATAAATAATATGGGCATTAACAATTGATGTATCAAGTAGTCAAAAAAATAGTAGAAACCAATTCTGACGTATTCTAAGTTGAGAAAGAAAATATGAACATCATTGATCAGCAATATCAACACCTCCCATATAGTGATTATAATCATTAATAAGCTTTGAAATTGGTAACAGCTTTCGTGAAGAGCTACCAAAATTTCTCTAACTTTTTTAATATTTGAACTAGTTTCCTGTGGACGTCGACACCAGCAATTAACTCAAGATTCACTTCTAGTAATATTATGAACTGTACTTAACATTATTACTAGTCCATTGTCAATTCAAAAAACTGCAAGCACATTATTTACAACTACACCCAAAAGTGTATCCTATTCAAAAGATTTTAAATTCTGAATCTTTAATTCTTTTGGAAACTTAGCAGAGTTTGTGCGAACTGTTCCACATGCACCAATTCTATTATTCCACAAATGTTGGAATAATGGAATTGATGTAAAAAAATTGTCTATATATATTGTAAAAGCACGTGATTGAAGTGGAAGTTGAAATACTAAGTAGCAAACATGCTGACCTATTTCATTAATACCTTGAACAGTAGGTAGGTTTGTTGCCTTTTCAACACGTGATAAAAAAGAAAATATCCATGTGTATCCTGAATCATATAATGATAGAATCTTATAACCTTCGGGGGTAGGTTTAGATTTCATACGGACCGTATGTACACTTCTTCCAGTAAAACGGGCAATCATCTCATCTACGGATACATTTGAACTTGGCATGTATGCTCTTTTACATGTATCTCGAATAGATGAAGCAAGAGGCTCAACTTTTGAGTACCAATGTGGATGTGAACCGGTTGGATCTGATATATGTAAAAAAC